CTGCGTGTGTATAATTTATACAAAAATACGTATCTATATAATGGGGATATATGTTCAAAATTCTTTTCTGAGAGTGTACTATCTAGAGGAAGAGGCATTTGGATAGGATTAGCTCTGGGGACATATTTTAGGGTTTTGTTACATAACATTCTACTCCGATAACCAATTTCTGTGGCTTACCTATTACTTTGTAACAAACTACTATTATAATAACAAAGTATGTCAGAATTTAGTGTGGCTTAGAAAAAATAACCATTTTGTTGACTTGGAATTCTGTCAGTCATGAATTTGGGCAGGACTTGGCTGGGTGGTTTTCTGTCCTACCCGGCATGGGGCGAGGGCTGCGTGTAGCTAGTGACCGGGCTAGGCTGGGAGATCCAAGAAGGTTTCACTCACGTGTCTGACACCTCAGTCCTCTGTGTCGCCTCGCTCGTACACATGGCGTGCTTGGGCTTCCTAACAGCATGGCCGTCTCAAGGGAGTTGGACTTCTTGCCGCTGGCTTTCAGGACAGCACATCTGAGGAAAAGCAAAAGCTGCAAAGACACTGCTTAGAAGTTATATAACACCACTGACTCAGAATTCTGTTGCTGAAAGCTGGCCACAAGACCATGGCCGATTCAAGGGGCAGGGAGATGGACAGCATCTTTCAACGGGAAGAGTGGCAAAGAACATAAGTCTACTTTAAATCCACCACAGGCTTCTTTTGCACATCATGATTTTGTGAGATTCATCTATGTTGTTGCCTATACTAAGTATTCATTCTTTCTCATTACTGTATAGGATTCCATGGTATGACTATCACAACTTGCTATTGATTCTCCCATTGATGGACTTTTGGTTGGTTGTAATTTGGGGCCATTATAAAGAAAGTTTAATGAAAATATTTGTACATATCTTTTGGCGAACATATGTACTAATTTCTCTTGGGCATATATCTAAGGGTAGAATTGCTGAGTCATAATTAGCCTACAGTTAGCATTACTTCCAATTTTCCAAAATATTTCTGCCAATTTTCACTCCCATCAGCAATGTAGAAGAGACTGAGTGTATCCATGTTTTTGCCGAACCTTCGTATCTTTTTAACTTTAGCCATCCCAGTGGATGTGTTGTAGCATCTCACTGTGGGTTTAATTTGCATTTTTCTGATGAGTCATGATGTTGAGCAGCTTTTCATGTATTCATTGGTCTTTTAACTATCCTCTTTTGTGAAATAGTTGTTAAAGTCTTTTGCCTACTTTTTAATTTTTTTTTATTGATTTGTAGTGGATATAAATACCTTGTAAATACCTTTTCTCAGTCTGTGGGTTGCCTTAACAATTTTGATGAACTAAAGTTCTTAATTTTAATGAAGTCCAATGTAACAATCTTTTCTTTCATGAATAGTGCTTTTAGGATTGTGCTCCTCAGGAAATCTGTCCTATCTCAATTCAGAAAGATATTTTCTGATTTTTTTTCTGCTTTACTTACTATATGTGGGATTGTGATCTGTTTCAAATTAATTTTTTATATGGTGTGATGTAGGGGTCAATATTTTTTTCATATGAATGTGCAACTGATCCAGAATCATTTATTGAAACACTATACTTTCCCCACTGAATTTTAGTAGCACCTTTGTTGTAAATCAGTTTATCTTACATGTTTTTGGCTCAGTTTTTGGACTTTCTATTCTGTTCCATTGATCTTTTGGTCCATTCTTGCATTACTGTTTGACTTATATATTTTCTAATGTTAAACCAACTTTAGATTTCTAGAATAAACCCAACTTGGTTTTGATTTATTAACCTATTTATATACATTGCTCAATATAACAAAGGACATGCGTTCAATTTGCTGATATTTTGTTTGGAATTTTTACATCTGTTTCTGAGACAGAACGGACTTTAATTTTTACTTTTCTTCATATATCCTTGCCACGATTTGATGTCAAGGTTATGCTAGCCTCATAAGATGTGCTGGTAAATGCACTCACTTTTCCCATTATTTAGAAGTCTGTGTACAGGGCGCCTGGGTGGCTCAGTCGTTGGGTGCCTGCCTTGGGCTCAGATCATGATCCCAGGGTCCTGGGATCAAGTCCTCCATTGGGCTCCCTGCTCAGCAGGAGCCTGCTTCTCCCTCCCCCGGTCCCCCTGCTTGTGTGCCCTCTCTTGCTATCTCTCTCGTCAAAAAATAAATAAAATCTTAAAAAAAAATGTGTACGATGTGTACTATTTCTTTCTGAAACATTTGGTAGAATTTACCATCTTTAACTCATATGAAATTGGGGTTTTCTTAGTGAGGTTTTTTTATACATAGAATCTATTTCTTAAATAAATATAGAATTGTTCAGATTTTCTATTTCTTCTATATACCTTTCAGTAACTTGTATTTTTCTAGGAATTTGTCCATCTCATCAAAATTTCAAATTTATTGGCCTAGAGTTACTGGCTCTATTACAGAATTGAGAAATGGTTAGTGTTGGCTTCTGTGTCTGTCACTTATGTGGAAACTTGGGTATAGTAGCTGCTTGTGCATAAAAGCGGAGCTGGGGTCCTTGCTAGGATTTAAGTCCACCCTTATTAGGCTAGAAGGGCTAAACATATCTCTTTCTGATATACACATTCTTTAGATATGTTAATATGTTCAATCAAGGTGTTCAATAAAATATTGGCCCAGACTGCTCAACTCCTCAGTTCCTTTAAAGGTTTATTATCTCTGTTCTAATTTTATTTCCCTGTTTCCTCTTCTTGGGGTTACCTCAATGTTGCTCCACCATACCACCTCTATGTAGCTCAACTGTTTTCCAGAAATTTACCCACAGGGTGCCTGGGTGGCTCAGATGGTTAAGCGTCTGCTTTACCTCAGGTTGTGATCTCTGGGTCCTGGAGCCCCCTGCTCAGTGGGGGGGGTCTGCTTCTCCCTCTCCCTCTGCCCTCCCCCGCTCATGCTCTCTCTCTCTCTTTCTCAAATGGATAAATGAAATTTAAAAAAAGAAAGAAATATACCTCAAGCTCACCTGCAGCATAAGGCAGAATACAGCTCACTGAGCACTTCCGCCACTGATCATTTCCATTAGACGAAAAAAAAAATCTGTGCCAATCTGATAAGCAAAAATGACACCTGAGCCAGAGATTTAAGACCTGCATATTAAAGCTTCTCTGTTAAACCCCTCCTCTAAGGGTTTTAACAGAGAAGTCTTATAGTCTAAGAAAACATTTTCTTCCAAAGGGCTGACTTTGCTCAAAACACTCAATTTTCTCTGAAAGAATGGCTGGAAAAATCTGTGACTCATTTCTGTGTCACCACATGTCCAAAGTCTCAAATCAAGGTCTGTCAACTGTTTCAACTCTTTTGCATATACATGAAAATCTTACAAAGTCATTCATCTATTCAACAAATATTGATTGATCACATCCTGTGAGCTAAGAACTGTTCCAGGCCCTGGATATATAGCAAGAAACAAAAAGACAAAGACAAACTTTCCTGATCTTATATTTTAGTTCAGTACATTAACTCCTCAGTTGCACATTCAGTACCACCCCTTCCTGTTCTAATATTTCAACATTTGAAATCAGGGCTGATCTAGAAAATAAAAGGGTTATGATCAAGCTTTTCTTGGGACAGTCCTTAATGCAGTAAAGATAAGGGAAAGTTTTTCAGAAAGAGTCTGAAGTTGCACAGAGCCAAGCCTGGCAAATGACGGGGGCGACACAAATGGCCAGAACGTTTGTCTAGTGCCATGATAAAATAATGAGACTGCTCCACTGGACTGGGGGTCTCTTGAAGGCTGGGACTCTTTATCTCTCATTTCCCAACTGCTGGCACAGTGCCTGGCATACAGTGGGTGTTTAATAATTTTGTGACATAAATGAATTGACAAGTAAATAAGGAGTAAGTGAATAGAGAGCCAGTCGTTCTCTATTCTCATCTAGTCCATGACTTTAAATACCATCTAGACAGAGAGAACTCCCAAGTGTGTTATCTCCAGTCCAGAATTCACTTGAGAACGCCAGACTCCAATATCAAATTGTCTTCTCATCCTACCTGGAGGTCTTACCAGCATGTCTAACAGGTCCAAAGTCAAACTCTTAGTTCCTCCTCTACCCGACTCCCAAACGGTTCCACCCACAGCCTGCCCCACTCAGTGATAACTTCACCCTTCCAGAGCTCAGGTCAAAAATCTTGGAAGTCACCCTTGACTCTTTTCTTTCTCCTACCGCCCACTTCCTGTCCATCAAGTTATCCTTTCGGCTCTACCTTCACGATCTGTATTTCTAGAACCTCTGTATTTCTCACTGTCTCTAGTGCTTTTACCTGGTTCAACTTACCACTGGATCTTGTCTGGATTATTTTCCTAGTCTCCTGACTTGTCTCCTGCCCTCGCCCCCCTCAGTCTCTTCTCCCCACAAGGGTCAGACTGGTCTGCCAAACGTAAGTCAGGTCGTGTAACTCACCCAATAGCTTCCAAGTAAAATCCTCACCTAATACTAGTAGTATCTGATTCTTACAGAGGAGGAAACTGAGGCACAGGGAGCAGAATGCCCCCGGCTCTACCTCAACAGCCGTGTTCTTTCCTCCAGAACCCCATGCCTCTCCCGTGCCAGTGAAAGCCAGAATGGAGCGGACCCGGGAGCGCCCGCGTCCACGCTGGGGAGGGTGGGCCGCCCCCGCCCCCGCCCCCGCCCCCGCCCCCGCCCCCGCCCCCGCCCCCCCGGCAGCATGCAGGGGGAAGACGGTCCCGCATCGAGCCGAGCCGGACCGAATCAGCTCAGCAGTAGGGGCGCCCAGTTTCTTCCCGAGCTCGGCTCCAGTTACCTCGACTGGGGAAGGAATGAAGTCTGGGAGGGGGCTGCAGGGGGTGCGGAGCTTCCCTCCTGTAGCGAGCGGAGACGAACTCGCGGCTCCAGGCGTCCGGAATCCAAAGCCGCGGTCTCGGTTTCCGCCCGGTCGGCTCCTCCGGCGCTCCCGGAAGCTGCCCTCGCTGCCCGGGTGACGGGCCGGCGCGGGGGGGGGGGGCGGCGGCGGCGGCGGCGGCGGCAGCAGCGAGGGCGCCGTTATGGACCTGGAGGAGGCGGTGAGGGAGCCGGGCGCCCTGCGGGCCCCGCGGCGGGACGGGAGGGGAGTGAGGCCGAGCGCAGGGGCCGGAGGACGCCGACTGGCTGTGGGGGCGCCACTGGCCGGAGGAGGGCGGGCAGAAGGCTGCGGGGCGGGGAAAGGGATGGGGCTGGCGGGCCGGGTGCGCGAGCATTTTGGGGAGAGAGACTGGAGTTTCTGGCTGGGCGAGGTTGTGGGTGAAGGGAGGGCGGGGCGTTAGTCCATGTCGGTGTGTTTCAGGAGGGGGATGGAGTTGTGGGTTTTATGGGCTGGCCACCCACATGGCCCATCCCCTCTCGGCCGGGCCACCCACAAGTTCCCTTTGATGCCGGGGTGGGCGTGGGAGGGCCGGGGTTGGAGCCCGCTGGCTCCTGAGTACCCACCCCGCATCCCCGCCCGTCTCACTGGGGATCCAAATTAGGGTTTGGGCCACTCCAGGGTAATGCTAGTTATCAGTACGGGGTCATTGCAAACTTTACCGACTTGTTGAAAATACGGCGTTCATTTTTGACATACTACATAAAATGCTGCATTCTTTGGCCGTATTAAAGGAATATTGGGCGATTAGATCAACGATAAGGTCGAAGACCAGAGAGTTCGGGACCAGTAGTTTAGTGCCCATCAATGTACGGTGATAGAAGGCCTTGCTCATTATAGATGCTCAATAAATGTCTATCGAATGATGGATGGCTAACGTCTGTACATGCTAAGTTAATGAAATTAATAATTATATCTCACCATTAACCTGCATTTGCTGTGAGTAGGGATGTCTGTTTTGCCCACCACTGAATCCCCGGCACCTAGTTAAGTGCCTCATGCATACATAGGTAATTCTCCTTATATTGCTGAATGAATAAATCGAAACTTGGAACAGCCCCCATAAAAATCTGATTCTTTTGTGGTATGTGTTTTTAGTGTCATTGAGAAAGTTCCACATGGTATGCAATTTTTATTTTTAAAGTCTGTACTTAAATCTTGTCCTCTTTTTTTCCTCAGGGCACTTCCCGGGAGTCTTATTAACTCAACCATTTTTTTCCATTTTACCCCTACCACCTTTTCAACTTTTTTTTCCCCCTCAAACACAGCGTATTTTAGAAACTTTTTTAATCATTTAATTCCATTTCCAACTATTCAGAAGACTGAACTGTTCTTCTCTTTGTGTATAGTTAATCTCTCTGATACATTTTTTATTTTCTATGGTTTTTTTTATCTGTAGGGTAAATTGCAGGGAACGCTTTAGGTAGAACTGCAGGGTTTAGGTGCAATGTATTGAATATGGCTTGATAGTAACACCTGTTCTATCTTCTCCTATAGAAAGAGTTTAAAGAAAGATGCACTCAGTGTGCTGCTGTCTCTTGGGGTCTTACTGATGAAGGCAAATATTATTGTACTTCTTGCCACAACGTTACAGAGGTAAGTAACATATATCATTTATGAATCTGCTAGTGTTTTAAAAATTACAGTTTTAGCCTGATATGTGGCATCGTTCCCAAATAATGTATTTTTGTCACTCCTGCAATGCCCAAATTCCAAGAATGTAAGTAGTCTTCAAGTACTTACACGTGAGCTAAGGAATGAGTAATTTAGATTTAGGATGGGTTTTTGAAATGATGTTGGGCCACATTTGTAAATAATTTCATGATTCCGACTGTGTAGTATAAGGGAAAATAATTAAAATTGTACTTAGAAGGTGAGGCATTTCTTTTTATTAGTTAATACTCATGTAAGAGTTTTTAATATATTGTGGTAGCTTAGAGGTTTGGGAGATGGAATGTTAGAAAGATTGAGGACTATTGGGAGTATTGGAAATATACTTCACTGTCATTTTATCTTGTACAGTACCTTAGAGATTACAAAGTGTTTTCTTATTCCTTATTTCATTTTCTCCTCATAACCACCTGTGAGATATACTTTTATGCCTATCCATCGATGGGGCAAGTAGGGCTTACGAGTTTGAGGGAGCTTGCCAAAGTCACACAGGTATAAGGTGTTGAGCCAGGCTGTGAACCTGAGTCTTCTGACTGCAGTGGTCATTTGACCCCATTACACCTGCCTCTTACACTAGAGCTTGTCATACTGTCTTGTGTGTAACCTTGGTCAGTGAGGCCCCCTTCACACTGGGAGTGCGAGGTCCTGTTCCATTTACCACACATTCAGGGCAGTATAACCAAAATAATCAAGGCTGTGGACAGTCTGCTACTGGACAGGCTGAACATGCCAGGACTCCTCTCTGGAAAAAGATTTGCTCAAAGTCTACAGAGCCAGGAAGGAACAAGTATTAACATTTACCATATAGACTTAAGAAAGGCAAATTTGGGACAGATGAAAGTAACTGTGTAGACTTCAGCTTTTGGCCAAGATGGAGTAACAGGAACCAGATTTACCTTCCTACTTTAATCAACTAGAAACTTGAGCAAAATATGTATAAAACAACTACAAAAAAAATTTCCTTTGAGGAAAGTGGCTAATTCACCTTGTTGCTCACACAGAGCTTTTTTTTTGAAACAATCATTGTTCTTCAGTATGCAGCTGAAGTTCTTCTCCCTGCTTCCCACTTAAGTCACAGAATATTAAAAAAATGCTAGCTCAGTGAAATTTTGTGGGTGGTGGATATTTCATTATCTTGATTATGGTGATGGTTTCGTAAAGATGTATATATATGTATATAGATAGATAGATAGATACACATAGATGTATATGCATATGTATATACATCAACTCATACACTTTGTTTTTTATTTTTTTTAAAGATTTTATTTATTTATTTGAGAGAGAGTGCATGTACATGCAAGAGAGAGAGCATGGTGGTGGTGGGGGGGGAGTGCAGAGGGAGAGGCAGAAGCAGACTCCTTGCTGAGCAGGGAGCCCGATGCTGGATCCCAGGACCCTGGAACCATGACCTGAGCCGAAGACAGATGCTTAACTGACTGAGCCACTCAGGTGCCCCTACGCTTGTTTTTTTTTTTAAGATTGATTTATTTATTTTAGGGAGAGAGGGAGAGAGCATGTGTGAACATGAGTGTGGGGAGGGGCAGAGGGAGAGAATCTTAAGCAGACTTCTCGCTGAGTGTGGAGCCTGAGTTGTGACTCGATCCCATGACCCTGAGATCGTGACCTGAGCTGAAATCAAGAATCAGACCACTCAACCGACTGAGCCCCCCAGGCGCCCCAACGTGTGCACTTTAAACACATGCAGTTTGATCCTCTGTGCTTTGATGCATGTGAGGCACTAACAGTTTTACCCAGGATTGTTTTTGCAGCAGCAGTGCAAATGTAAACACAGCAAAGGATGATTGTGTCTAATTGGACTATTTGCCATTAGTAGATGAAGTCAGCATGCTATTTTTGTGGAAATTAAACTACATTAACTAATTGCCTCTTTTATTTCTGTCTTTGATAATGTTCCTATTTAATTCTGTCTGATAAAGTCTACTGCAGTCATTTTAACTTGAAAGATCCTAATACCACTACATTACCTAGTTCCACATTTGAAAGACAACCTGTATAGAGTAACTTGTCAAGAATGTAGCATTCTTTCTTTTTTTAAAGATTTATTTATTTTATTGAGAGAGAGAGAGAATTCGAACAGGGGGAGGGGCAGAGGGAGAGAATCTCTAGCAGACTCCGAGCTGAGCGCAGAGCCTGGTGCCGGGCTTGATCTCACGATCCCAAGATCATGACCTGAGCTGAAACCAAGACTGTGACGCTTAACCAACTACACCACCCAGGTGCCCCAAGAATGTAGCATTCCTGAAGATGGGCAGCATCTATATATAGGCCAAGAACCTAACTCAGTGCCTTCCCATATGATAGGCAGAGCTGTGTATTGTACAACTTCAGTGGTTATTCTTGGCTTTATGGTACCCCAGGCGTGTTCTTCACGTAGGATATGATGTGATCCATGCTGCCTGGTTTGTGGTGCTGTAGTGTGGCAATGTTGATATCCAGTGGGTGGAGGAGGGCCAGTGGGATGTAGTTCTAGCTATGAAGAGTAGAGGTCATGGTGCAACTTTCCCTATTTTTCTGCACCCTCATTGCCCTCCAGCTCTTAGCCTGTTTGTAATTTTCAAGCTATGGATACTCGCTATAATCTGGAAAACGGCCTTTTGAATTAGTAAAAGAACAAGAGTGTTACATTGGTGTATTTTAAACAGGAAAACCCTTTTCAGGTCTTAAATCTGGCCAATTTAGACAATAGATGTTCTTGTAGGTATTTCATAAAGGTGTAGGCTAGAATTTTGTGAGTTCAATAGATTTTTAGGATTATAACATCAGATTTATTGTAGAAAATTTAGAAATTAATGAAGATGAGAGCTCAAATCACGAGTCATCTTGGGGCACCTGGGTGGCTAAGTGGGTTAAGTGTCTGCCTTTGGCTCGGGTCATGAGCCTGGGGTCCTGGGATCGAGCCCCGCATCGGGCTCCCTGTTCAGTGGGGAGTCTCCTTCTCCCTCTCTCTTTGTCACTCCCCCTGCTTGTGTTTTCTCTCTCTCAGTCAAATAAAATCTTTAAAAATAATAATAAAAATAAAATCACCAGTAATCTCAATATACAACACTTTAATCACTTCCTTTTAAACTCTTTTTTGCTATGTATGGAAGGGAAAGGGGATGTGGGTGAGCACTTTTGAATCTTCTGTCTTAATTAAATATTTTCCTGTGTTATTCTAAACATTTGTGGACAGTTTTAATTGCCTGTATATATATCCCACAATATAACCATTTAGTAATTTAATTAATTATAGATCCAGTTTTAGATATTTAGCTTTTTCTAGCTTTTAGTTATTTCACATTTCATTTAGTCCAGATTTTAAGCCTTTTTATCCCTGCCTACTCTTTCTACATTGTACCTGTCTTTGTAGGGTAACTGCTTTGGTATGTATTCTGATGTGTCTTATGTTTTCAGTGTGGCCAACCCAGCCCACCAGAATGGCTTCGGATGTGGTTTCTATGACTAGAGGAAATACATTCCCCAAATCCTATTGTTAAAGATATTTCTTTTACTCTTAATGAAGGCTGAAGATAAACTTCATTCCAATCTCTAAGTTTAGGGAAATATATAAATGTTGCCTGTTGGTTAAAAATCTTCACCTCTCTTCCCTCATTAAGACTTAATTCTTTTATTTTGGTTGTGAGAAAGGCAGAATCTTAGGTACCAGCCCTTGAGAGCACTTGGAGTTGAAGACTGTGGGATGAATTGTACTCGTTATTGAGTCATTCTAAAATTGTGTAGGTTTGATTAAAAATAAAAAGTAGTACTTTTATAGTTTCAGAAATGAAAACTGCATTATTCAAATACATAGAAAAGCAGGATGAAACGAATCTGTATGTAGCATAGTGATTGCTGGTTACAATACATACAGTTCTCCTAATTCCGGAGTGTGTTTGGATGGAGGAAAAAGGGAACAAATTTGACTTTACCGTTAGGTTTCATTTGAAAAAATTAGAAAGTGACTTAAAATAAAAGTTTATTCATTTTCCAGACTATTGTTTAGTGTTTACTGTGTTCCAGGTACTGTTTTGAATCGTGAAAAATTCTGAATGAAAAAACAACGTAAAAGTTAACCAAAATGTTACAGTTGATATAATTTTCCCAAAATGTTACTGTCCTTGGTCCTGGCACTCACAGTTTGGTTCACTGTACTTCCCAGAGCATGCTTGGAAAAACCTTTTGGGAGATGTAAAACTATCTTTTTAATGGTCTATCTGTCTCCTGCAGAGATCTAAGGAAGTCATAAACACTGGGGCTATCCCTAATACTAAAATACAAGCCATCAGCCGGGGACTTAAAAGAAAAAGAAAACTTGGTAAGCCCTTTCTTCGTGTGTGCTTAGGGATGTGCAGTGAAATCTTAAGTAGATTCTCGAGAGGTTGCCAGAGTTGTAGACAGGTCATCCAGAGTAGAATTAAAGTGGGTAATCGTTGATGGTAAAATTGGAAGTAAATGTCTTTAAGCATATCCTGTTTTTATCCTGCTTATGGTTGTGAGTTGCTTTTCCAGTGGAGCAACTATTATACAAAAAAATCATAATGGAGTGTATTCCTTCTTATCTGTCGGCATATGTTTCTCTGTTCTATGTCCTCTATTCAGAATATGATTTTCTGTGCTTTTAAAGAAAAACGCTTACTTTCTGAAATGGTTCATGTATGGAACTGTCAGGTTAGGCAAGTTCAACGTGATGTTCAACTTTTAGAAATCTGTTTCTCACATTGAATTTTGAACACACCCTTTTAAAATAGGAAAATTATTTTCCTTAAAATAATCTCAGCATGGGTGTGCTTTGAAAGGTAATCTACCTCATTAGTCCAGTGAGTACATATAATTAACCATTATTGAGAAGATTCTGAGGTAAAGTCTAACTGATGCTTTTTATTTCTGTGACTACCTAGGGCCAGATTCTCCAGTTTGAAACCAGGCTAAAGATAGTGGTGGATCCTTGTAGGTGAGGTAGCTTTAAGGACGCACACACATGAAATACAGATATATAAGTGTTAGTGAAATATCTCTATGAAATACATTGATATTCTTAGTTGAGTAACAGAGAGAATGCCTAAATGGTAACTTGTGTTTCTGTTTAACCTTTAACGGTGACTATTTTTATTAGGCTAGAAGCTGGTTACTTTTTAACTAAATTTTATTAGAGTAAAACTTGATTAATTTGGATTTGACTTAGGTAACTAAAATGTATAGTTTCAACTTAAATTGCTACAGTAAATTTAGATGCTTCAAATTAGCTGTCAGGTGTCTTATATTCAACTTCTTTGACCCTGCATAGTTTCTTCATCTGTAAAATGAAAATGTAATACCATTTGTCACATAAAACAGAAACTCTGAATTCAAAATACGACTTTACCAGTTTATAGGAGCCATGTTCTGGAAGAAGAGTGCGCACAGGTACAGTTTGAAGAGTTTAAACTTGCTCAACTTCAGAATGCATCAGAATTAGAGGCTTTCTCTTTTACTTATATATAATCCAAGAAATTGAGGTAGTCAGCAGGGTGAGGAGTAGGAGTCCTGTGACATTCTGCAGGGGAGGGGGATCTTGGGGTCCTAGTAACAGACTTCATAAGCTAAATGTAAAAGGTGCTGATAACATGTTTTTCAAAGAGTTGTAATATTTATCCAGCAGGGAGGAGTAAAACATTAGGCTCTTAACAGATTTTAACATTTTCTTTACCTTCTAGTTCTCTTTTAACACGTAGCTCTGTCTGTGGTGGTGGCATATTTCTTCAGTCTCTTAGGGTTATTTTGAGGATTAAAGAAAAGAACTTACTTAAAATACCTAGTACATACTTGATGCCTAGGCGGGGCTCAGTAAGTATTAATTTCCTTGCTTCCAATGTCTCCCTGTAGCCTAGAACTATTTCCAGAAAAGCAGAATGCCATCAGACAGTTTGTTTTCTCTGTATGTTCTTGTTGCTCTTTCCTGCACTCCTGGACCATCACATCTTGGCTTTTGTTCATTCATTCTCTAAATACTCATCGTTCCTTTTCTCTGTGAGTTCGAACAGAGAAGGGGAGAAGCAGAGGCTGAGTACTGAGCACTCTTTCCTTTAGGGTTCTGCTGAGTACTGTCCAGTACAATACATTTCATTGTTCAGTACATACTTTTAAAACTTACTTCATTTTTTAACATGGTGACTATTCATTTTTCTGCCCTACATTAATATTTCAGAAAAATTGTAGAGAATTTAAAATATTTAAAATCTGAAAAATAAAAATGGGGTTTAGCTTTAGCATCTGTGTACATATTTGCCGGATTGGAAACGGGAGTATAAGGATGGAAACCCTCTTCAGGAATACAAAACAATCCCAGCTGTGATGTGTAAAACACAGTTGTAACTCTGTAGTAGCATGTAGTAAATAGGAGTGCAAATGTCTGAACCATATTATTTGTCATTTAGAGAAAGGCTGGGATTGGTATGTGTGTGAAGGTTTTCAGCAGATACTTTATCAACAAGCAGAAGCCTTAAAGACCCTTGGAGTAGGCCCAGAATTAAAGGTAAGTCCGTTCGTGTCTAGATGTTAGCCTTACATTTTGTTTGAAGCACAATAAGATGTGGAGTGAAACTAAGGAGAAAAGTAGGCTTATCAATAATGACACTAGCTCCTGGAAGAATCATTTTTTCTGATGTTTTTGCTTTAATCCTTTTATTAGACCATTAATTACCAAAGTGTGTTCTACGGGATATAAATAAGCAGTACAACCAAAAGAAAATCAAAAAGGTGTTAATCTTCAGATATTTAGGAGAGATTGGGTTAAATAAAGTAAAACAAATAACTTTGCAGACTACTTGGTGTCTTTTATGTGTTAATGTGCTTCTTTGATTTCCAAGGGGATGTGTAGTATGCAGTATTCACAATTTGAGAACAAGGGGCCTCTGGGTGGCTCAGATGGTTAAGTGGCTGCCTTCGGCTCAGGTCATGATCCCTGGGTCCTGGAATCGAGCCCCGCATCGGGCTCCCTGCTCAGTGGGGAGCCTGCTTCTCCCTCTCCCTCTGCCTGCCGCTCCCCCTGCTTGTGCTCTCTCTCTCTCTGTCAAATAAATAAATAAATAAATCTTTAAAAAAAAGTAAAAACAAAAAACAATTTGAGAACAAAATCCTTTAGTGTGTGTATATATATATATATAGCATTGATCAGGACTTGAGTTCCAGAATGCGCTTTGGGGAGTAATATATTAAACCAGTGGTTTTCAACCTTGAAAGTGTACTAGAATCACCTGAAAGGTTGGTTAAAACAAGATTACTGAACCTCATTCTAGTTTCTGATTCAGTATGTCTGGAGGAGGGCATTTCTAGCAAGTTCCCAGGTGACACTGAGACTTCTGGTCCAGGGACCACACTTGGACTTTGCTGCCCCTCCAGAGTACCACAGTATCCCTGCTGTTGTGTGAATTTCATGTTGGTTCATCTGGTTGAAGCCATTTCAGGAATTCTTTAAAAAGCCAGTTATTTGGGGGCACCTGGGTGGCTTAGTCATTAGGCGTCTGCCTTTGGCTCTGGTCGTGGTCCCGGGGTCCTGGGATCGAGCCCCGCTTTGGGCTCTCTGCTGGGCAGGAAGCCGGCTTCCCCCTCTCCCACTCCCCCTGCTTGTGTTCCCTCTCTCGCTGTCTCTCTCTCTGTCAAAATAAATAAATAAAATCTTAAAAAAAAAGCCAGTTATTTAGCAACAAGTGGTTATTGCACACTTGCTTAGTGCCCATTATTGGAAACCAGGTGCTAAGAGATCCAGCCTAGTTGGAGAGAGGGTTTTATGCATATGTGGAATGAGTAAACATGAAATGATAGGACGATGTGATCATAAGTGACATTAAGGGCAAAAAGAGAAGGTAGAAAGATCAATGTGGACTGAAGTCACCAAGGAAAGATTTATAAAGGAGCCTTTGCTGTTTAAACCAGTGTTTGGGGCAAGCCAGCAAAGAATGCCCTCTAGATCAATACAGGCTGACCCTGAAAAGTATTTTAGGATTTAAAAATACAAAAACATGAGAGACCAGATGGTACCCATGGTGGTAGTCTGGGGGTTTGTGAAACTGGTTTCTTTCAAGTCATCCTATGTTATAAATGCTTTGTAATTTATAATTTCATATAGTTAGACCAAATAACTACAGTAGGGTTTATTCCGATATAGTTTTCTACCCACTTCATCAGGGTTAATTCTGAAAACAGTTTGTCTGAAATTAGCCAGTGAACATAACTGTTTAGACCTGTCCATTTAAATGGCACAGAAATGGCATTATGCTAAGAACACAGGCTCTGGAATCAAAACTACAAATCCTATTAATGGATTTTCTATTTATTGGCTGGGTCATTTTTGGCCAATTTACTCAGTTTCTTTAGTGGTAAAATGGAGATAGTAGTTATCTTGCAGTGTTGTATTAGAGCTAGTGGATGCCTCATACCTAGTAGGTGATGAATAAATAGAAAAGTTGTTTTGTTTTGTTACCTTATTTTCCTTCCACTTGGACCCAAGAGCAGCTTTGCCTCTAACTAGAAGTGTGGTCACAAATAAGTTGCTTTCTTTTTCTCATTCTTAATATACTAAACTTACAAAAGGAAGGGATTCAACTAGGTGATCTTTATGGAATTAGTCTCTTCTTTAAAAATCTAAGATTATGAAGAATTTATTCAGTGTTTCCCATATACCTGATTTTGTGATGATAATTCTTTTTATAGGTAGAAAGTTAAGAATACATTTAGATGGAGGGCAATATATGAAGTATAAGTGGTATAGATGTACCAGTGTATTTGTCATAATCACTACTCATTTCCCTTCTACCTTAGAATGAAGTTTTACATAATTTTTGGAAGCGCTACCTTCAGAAGAGCAAGCAGGCATATTGTAAAAACCCAGTTTATACGAGTGGAAGAAAAGCTACGGTAAGTCACAAGTCTGAGAAGCAGGACGAAAAGCCATTTCTAGTGTGAGGTAGAGATGAAGACAGGTCCAACCTCATCTGGATTTATGATGCTTGTCACAGAATTGTCAGTGAAGTGGTTTCTCTTATAGTTCAGAAGGACAGGGTCACTGATCTAGACATTGGAATTAATTTTGACTTCTTATTTGACTAGTTGAAACAAATTTGTAGTTAAGTTCTAAATAGAAGCTTAAGGACTTTCCATTAATTGTAGTACTAGAAAAAAACTTTTTTTGCATATTTTTCCCTTTGCTTGGAATACCCACGTACCTGGTATTTCATTATTCAGCTCAGTTGTCTCTACTCAGCAGTCTTTATGTGAAGAAAATAAGTCTGGATGCCTCACCACCCCCTCCCACATCCCCCAGAGCATTTATATTTTTAGTTTGCATTTAACTGCTTTATGAATGTGCCATGGGACATTTTATTTGGGGTAGGAGAAGATTCCACCACTGAGAAAGGCAAGTTTGATAAACTGATAGGTTTGATGTGTGGTGCTTATTCTCCAGGGCTGAGAAGAGATTCTGAATCTATTTGACACACATTTCTTAAGAGCTTGGAGACTTGGCCTAGTGTTTCCTTGTTTGGTTGGGGTTGCCTAGGTTCCACATGCAGAGTTGAGTGATCCAGGACTGAGAAACCCAGGTCTGGGAGAAAGGAATAAGTTCTGAGAATGAGAAGTTTAGAGGAGCTAAGCCGTGAGAGAGACAATGGTGGAAGGGGGACTGACCTAAGCAATTAGTGTAGGCAACTTCCTTTTTGAATCTGGGACAGTGCATTTAAATAAACTCAAGAGGAATAACTTGAATTTACTAGAATAGACAATTTTATAATGATAGAGTTATGAAACATTATCCTCTCTTGATTCAGGAGGCAGGTGCTTCTCAAGAAAAACAAAAGATATGGGGCACCTGGGTGGCTCAGTCATTAAGCATCTGCCTTTGGCTCAGATCATGATCCCAGGGTCCTGGGATCAAGCCCGCATCAGGCTCCCTGCTCCACGGGAAGCCTGCTTCTCCCTTTCCCACTCCCCCTGCTTGTGTTCCCTCTCTCACTGTGTCTCTCTCTGTCAAATAAATAAATAGAATCTTAAAAAAAAGAAAAAGAAAAACAAAAGATGCTATGTGGTTCTCAGGTGACACTTCGAAAGAGAATAGAAAAGAAAGAGCCATCCAGGCTATTAAGAATCTGATCTTGGGGCGTCTGGGTGGCTCAGTCATTAAGCGTCTGCCTTTGGCTCAGGTCATGAGCCCAGGGTCCTGGGATGGAGCCCCATGTAAGGCTCCCTGCTCAGCAGGGAGTCTGCTTGTCTCTCTCCCTCTGCCCCTCCCCCCCTTAAGTGCGCACGCATGTGCGCGCACGCTCTCTCTCTCTCTCTTTTTCAAATAAATAAAATCCTTTTTAAAAAATCTGATCTTTAGAATTACATAGCTAAGGTATTGGTTGGTTATATTTGTACGCTGGGGGTTTGCCTAGCACATAGAAAATTTGAATCAGAACCTGGAATTCTCTCTGACATTTTAACATTGTTAGTGTAACTTAAGATATTTAAAAAGGTTTTCTTAACTTGAATAAACACCTGTCTAAAGTAATACTGGCATCACACTAAAATCTTCTTGATGAATAAATAAGCAGTAAGCAAAATTTTAACCTGATGTACAAATTGGCAATATAGTGTTTATTGAAGAGTACAGCTATTTTGAATATACTCTATTTTGGGGTTTTTTTTGTTTGTTTTTTTGTTCTTTTTTAAAGATTTTATTTATTTGACAGAGAGAGCATAAGCAGAGGGAGAGAGAGGGAGAAGCAGGCTCCCTGCTGAGCAAGGACCTGGATGTGGGACTCGAACCCAGGACCCTGGGATCATGACCCGGGCCGAAGGCAGCCGCTTAACCGACTGAGCCACCCAGGTGTCCCATACTCTGTTTTGAAAGGAAAAAGGAACGAGTACTTTTAAGTTAGAAGCTTAGTCTTTCGGGCACCTGGGTAGCTCAGTTGGTTAAGCTTCTGCTTTCAGCTCAGGTCATGATCTCAGGGTCCTGGGATCGAGCCCCACATCAGGCTCTCTGCTCAGCAGAGAGTCTGCTTGTCTCTCTCCCTCTGCCTGCCGCTCTCCCTGCTTGTGTGTGTGCATGCACACGCTCTCTCTCTATCAAATAAATAAATAAATAAATCTTAAAAAAAAAAAAAAAAGAAGAAGAAGAAGAAGCTTACTCTTCTCCAGTATGGTACCGGCACCAAAACAGACACATAGATCAATGGAACAGAATAGAGAACCCAGAAATGGACCCTCAACTCTATGGTCAACTAATCTTCGACAAAGCAGGAAAGAATATCCAACGGAAAAAAGACAGTCTCTTCAACAAATGGTGTTGGGAAAATTGGACAGCCACATGCAGAAGAATGAAAGTGGACCGTTTTCTTATACCATACACATAATTAGATTTAAAATGGATGAAAGACCTAAATGTGATATAGGAATCCATCAAAATCCTAAAGGATAACACAAGCAGCAACCTCTTCGACCTCAGCAGCAGCAACTTCTGGCTAGACACGTCTCCAAGGCAAGGGAAACAAAAGCAAAAATGAACTATTGGAACTTCAGCAAGATAAAAAGCTTTTGCACAGCAAAGGAAGTAGTCAACAGAAGCAAAAGACAACTGACAGAATGGGGGAGGATATTTGCAAATGTCTTAATCAGATAAAGGGCTAGTATCCAAAATCTATAAAGAACTTATCAAACTTAACACCCAAAGAACAAGTAATCCAGTCAAGAAATGGACAGAAGACATGAACAGACATTTCTGCAAAGAAGACATACAGATGGCCAACAGACACAGGAAAAAATGCTCAGCATTACTCTACATTGGGGAGTAATCAAAACCACAGTGAGATACCACCTCACACTGGTCAGAATCGCTAAAATTAACAATTCAGGAAATGACAGATGTTGTTGAGGATGGGGAGAAAGGGGAACCCTCTTACACTGTTGGTGGGAATGCAAGCTGTTGCAGCCACTCTGGAAAACAGTATGGAGGTTCCTCAAAAAATTGAAAATAGAGCTACCCTACCACCCAGCAATTGCACTGCTAGGGATTTACCCCAAAGATACAAATGCAGCGATCCAAAGGGACACCTGCACCCATTGTTTATAGCAGCAATGTCCACAATAGCCAAACTATGGAAAGAACCCAAATGTCCATTGACCGATGAATGGATAAAGAAGATGTGGTTTATATATATAGAATGGAATATTACTCAGCCATCAAAAAAATGAAATCTTGCCATTGGCAATGACGTGGATGGAACTAGAGAGTATTATGCTAAGCAAAATAAGCCAATCAGAGAAAGACAATTATCATATGATCTCATATATGGAATTTAAGAAACAAAACAGAGGTTCATAGGGGAAGGGAGGGGAAAAATAAAACAAGATGAAATCAGAGAGGGAGACAAACCATAAGAGATTCTTTTTTTTTTTTTTAAGATTTTATTTATTTGACAGAGACACAGCAAAAGAGGGAACACAAGCAGGGGGAGTGGGAGAGGGAGAAGCAGGCTCCCCACTGAGCAGGGAGCCCAATGCAGGACTCCATCCCAGGACCCTGGGATCATGACCTGAGCCAAAGGCAGATGCTTAACCAGCTGAGCCACCCAGGCACGCCAAGAGATTCTTAATCATAGGAAACAAACTGAGCATTCCTGGAGGGGAGGGGCCTGGGGGTACGGGGTAACTGGGTGATGGACATTAAGGAGGGCACGTGGTGTAATGAGCCCTGAGTATTATATAAGACGATGAATCACTGAACTCTATCTCTGAAGCTAATAATACACTATATGTTAACTAATTGAATTTAAATTAAAAAAAGAATTGAAAAAAAAAGAAGCTAAGTCTTCTCAAATATTCAGTAATTTCTTCATGCTTTGAATGTGACTGCACCAAGAATAGTAAGAGGCCTGCATCTGAATCCTGGCTCCACTACTGTGACTTGTGTGATCTTGGGTGAGATAAATTACTTAAAACTTCCAGAAAAAATGAACAAGCAATTATTATAAATCAGGGTACGGTAAGGGAGATAGAAAATGGTGTGGCTGGAAAGGGTGCTATTTGTGATGTGATCAGGGAAGCCCTCCCCTCCCTGATCAGGAATCTTAGGTAAGAGTAAGCCATGAGGGATATCTGGGGGAAGAAATGCAGAATTTCAGGCCTCACCCAGACCTACTGAATTAGAATCTGCATTTTTAACACAGTTCCTAGGCGCTTCCTATGCACACTAAAGTTTGAGAAGCCCTCTTCCAGATAAGACGTGGTGGCTGGGACAAGGTGGTAGCAATGGAAATGATAAGTGCTAGGATTCTAGATAAACTTTGGATAGGGTCATCAGAATTTCCTGATGGGTTGGATGTAGGGTGTGAGAGAAAGAGGAGTCATCAAGGATGACTTAAGTTTGGGGCCTGATACAACAGGTGGAACCGGAAGATCTATAGTTCCATTTTGGACACATTAAGCTTGAGACAGCTGGTAGATATCTACGAGGAAATTCCAAGTACTTAGATTTATAGGTCTTCAATTCAGGAGAGAGGACTATGTTAGAGATAAAAATTTCGATGTTGTTAATGTACATTATAATCATCACATCTTAAATGCCATTGTTTGGAAGATACACCATTATTTTAAACATCCCCAAGAAAGAAAATAATGCTGCAAATCAAACTGTGACATGCCATTGGTTGTAAGATACACCCTGATGTCAGGGATACTAAAATATGGGGAAAAGGCAGTGCATTTTAGAGTCGAAAACAACGTTGAAGGTAGTGTTTAAAACCACAAGACCAGATGACATCACTGAGGAGTGAAGACAAGGGGACCAAGGGCTGAGCTCTGGGCCACTGTCGGATGAAGGTGTCTGGGATAAAAGTAGAACCTACAAAGAACTCTGAGGAGCAACTGGTAAATTAGGAGGAGGCCTGGAGAGCGAGAGGGCGTTCTGGAGTCCAAGGAGCAAAATGTCTCAAGAGGAGGGGAGTGATCAGCTGGAAAATGCTGCTGCCTGGTCAGGAAGAAAAAGGGCTAAAAGTGGATGAGTAGAACAGTGGAGTCACAAGTTTGATTAGAATGAGGTGTAAGATAGACTGGGAAGAGAGAAATTGGAGACAGTGAGTCTGGATAACTCTTCCAAGGCATATTGCTGCGAAGAAGCACATAGAAATTATATTGTAGCTGGAGTCAAGGAAAGTGTTTCTTTTTTTAAGTGGATAAATGATAGCATATTTGTGTACTGATAGAAATAATACAGGAGAGAAGAGATTCTCAATGCGGAGAGGGAAAATAGAAATGAGGGATAATCTTTGAGTAGAAAGGGTGGGATTGGGTGCCCAGAGGGAGAAACTGGCTTTTTTTTTTTTTTTAAGATTTTATTTATTTATTAGAGAGAGAGAGCATGCACAAGTGGTGGGGAGGGGCAGAGGGAGAGGGAGAAGCAGGCTGTCCACTGAGCAAGGAGCCCGACGCCGGGCTTGATCCCAGGACCCTGAGATCATGACCTGAGCCAAAGGTAGTTGCTTAACCGACTGAGCCACCCAGGCACCCCGAAACTGGCTTTTTAGATGGCAGCTTGGATAGTCCACCAGAAGAATCAAACAGAGAGTAGAGTATGTGGTCAACTTCCTGGTAGATGGTTGTCTGCATAAGCTTGTGGACATTTTCTTCTGTGATTCCTTCAAATTTCTCAATGAGTCCATGCTTGTCTGCCAGTTTTATGGTGTACCTTGTCTCATATGCTTACCTGTAGAGAGGGGAAGTACTTGACAGATGACACAAGCATCTTATCCCTGATTTTTTTTTTTTTTTTTTTTTTTTTGCTTTATTCTCTTGTGAGTTTCCTTAACATTAGTCTTACCTCCTCTTGTTAAGATTGAGTTTCTTGGTCTGCGTGGCTGATAATGTGGCTTTTTAACTGTGATTAGTTTCCCCAAGATTATGTCAGCTAATGAGGCCTTTAGGTAGCCAGCCAGCTGACCTTTCTTAGGAACACTCTGACCACCATTTCAACAATACATACGTGAAAAATTAAACAATGGTATCAGTTAGTATATCCCTGTCAGTTAAGTGTTATAAATGTAAAGTGCCACAAGAGTTCAGGAAATCAAGAACTCACTGAAGAAGAGTTGGTTGGAAAGACTGCATGATAGAGTAAATAACGAGTTGGAGAGAAAGAGAAGAAAGGCTAGTCTGGGCAGGAGAAATGGAATTAACAAAGATACAAAGCAAAAATTCCCAGGTAGGCTCAGTGAAGAGAAGCCAGCATTGTGCAGGAGTCATTATTGATGTTTTTATTGGTGTGGCCACTAGGGCTACAAGAGAGATGTTAGTTAGAGGGAGAAGGAAGCCTGATGTGTCTGCTGGCAGCCTGTTCCCTTGCTCACCCTTGTCTGTAGCCTTTCTCCAGAAGTGTTCCAGGAACAGCTGGGGAGCATGTTGTGGAGGTAAAAGTCTTTTAGTTTTAGGAACATGGCAGATGGTTGCAGTTCTCTAGAGTAGTTTACTTTTTGGTGTTTCAGATGGGCAGGACTTGGAAGCTCATGGAAATCAATTGCATTTTAAATTCCAATGTAATAATTTTATCTGTGATATTTTGCAAATAGGTATTAGAAGATAACCCAAGTCATTCAGACTGGGATAGTGAGCCTGACCTGCTGAGTGACTTTAGCTGCCGTTCTTTTGTTGAAAGTGGAACAGACTCTCAGCCTGATGGCTGCCCTCAGAAGCCTTTCCCCATCAGCAAAGCATCACAATCAGGTAAAAATGAGAATCAGACTATCTGGAATTTTAAAGCTGATAATGTGCCTTAAAAATAGTTTAGTCTAATCTTTTCATATTCCAAGAAAAGGAACTTGGCCTAGGAAGAAAGAATGATTTGCTAAATCATTAGGCTACGAGAAAGGTAAATTAAATGAAATCTTAGTGCAATTTTTAAAAAGGTACATTGTTTCTACATGAGTATTTTTGTGTGATTTTTAAAGGAACTTAAATAATACGTGGATCCAGAGAGAAGGAAGCCAGCTCAACAGAGATCATAGATATGTGGGCTCAGAATTTTCAAAGAAAAGTTGCAATAGAGAGATGATAGATCTTGGCCATATGGTCAAGTAGGTAAGAGTCAAAGACGATGTGTCCGATTTCTAAGTGTAGACTGAAGCAAAACTTACCGTATCATGTGTATGTGTGTGAGTTTTACTCTCTGATTTAATTCCATAATCTAAAATAGGTAAGGAGTATGTTTAAGGTAACAGATGTAGACCTTCTCAAAGTATTTATTCATGATTTTTGTGGTTTCCACACTATATATATATATATATATATATATATTTTTTTTTTTTTTTTTTTTTTTTTTAAAAACAACATGATGGAAAACAGACCTCAAAGAACAGACCAGGCTCTTATTATAGATTACTAGAATCTTGATGTGTGCTGACAGAGTTCTTTGGGAAATAGCTTCCAAACCGTCTGGTGTTAGGGATTGTGGAAATCTGGATTGTGTGGTTATATAAAATTTTCAACAAAACATTTTTTGTATGGACTGCTGCTTTGCAAGCCTCTTGCCCTCCAAAGAGTAAAAATTCCTTTTATCAGTATATCCGCATTACTTGCTGGACTGCACAGTGACACAGATATCAGATAAGTTACTTTCTGTGTCCAAAGAAAGAAAGAAGTTAGGATCATAGAATAATTGGGCAGCAGTGAATCTCTGGAGTTTCTGGCTCCATGCTTTCAGGCAGGCCTGAACTCAAATTGTCCCAGACAACTAGGACTCTCAAATCATCCAGGCCTTTTAGAGCACCATGATTGTTTACCTATGTTAAGAGTTTTTGTTTGTATGTTTGTTTTTTAGTAAGTGATGATCCTTACAGCTTTATTTTAGTTTTTACATTTAAAGTAACTACGAATATAACCTTTATTTCAAAATTCTAAAATACAAATAGTCACAAAGAAAAAATCACCAGTTATTGTGCCATCCAAAAATAACCACATTGCTGTGGTAGATCATTCCAGAAAGTTTTTTTATTCATGTATATATAGAGAGAGGGAAAGAGTTTTATTATTTGTTTTTACAAAAATGTGTGCTATTCTTTACACTTTTAATCAAAATCCTACGTGCATTCACAAACTAATGATGTAATGTATGGTGATTAACATAACAATAAAAATACTAGAAAAAAATCCTACGTGCATGTAATTTAAAAATATTTATAAAGCTTGTTTGGAAGAGTTATAGTCCCTTGTTCCCCTAAGTGTGCTATTCCTAAGAGGCATTCATTTTCAGCTCTTCTGCAACTTCCATAGCTCCATATCATATGCTTCTAGTACTACATCTTGATTTCTGCTTTTGGACATTAGCTATTAAATTCCCACTATAAAAGATGAAGTCTTGGCTGTTTCACACATTCCTCACTGCCCCTCTCCCCATGTAGTCACCAGCACACAATTGTGCATTTCTTTTTCTTTTTCTTCCCAATATAATTATAATTTTTTACTAGCCCAATATTTAATGTGAGCCATATAGCTTACTATGATTACATTTCTATACAATATTTTTGTTTTCCCAGAGTTGATAATTGCCTTGTTATTTAGTTTTCTATTTTATTACTAATCTATAATTTATTAGTAGTATATCTCCACATTTCCTCCCAGTTCTGAAAATCTCTCAATTTCTTAGATATTCTACCAATTTCATATTCTGGAAAAAATCTTTATGGAACTTCTGACCTACTCTAATCTACAAGGGTATATCTCTAAACCTATGACCCAGCTATCTTTGGGATCTCTTTACCAACATCCTGAAGATTTTCTTATCCCTCTTTTGTTAAATTCCTTATTTCCTTGACTGTGTTTCATCATTTCCTGGTTTACTCCACCATTTTTGTAGTGCATCTTTTCTTATTTTACTGAGGATATTGTTATGATATTGATAATATTCCCCCTTGACTTGATCCTTTTGTTCTCTGCTTTTTGTATTAGAGGGTTTCTTCAAATGTTAATGAGCCTATTATGGCTAGTCTTCTTAAGAATGGAGACTAAAAAATTGAGTGAAAGCCTTCTACCCAGGGAGAGTTTTGTCAGTTGTGCTGTGCATGATCTCTCTGGATTATTTTCTTAGCAAGCCTCCAGCATTATCGTCTTTAAATCTTTTCCACCTGAGCTGATAGGATTTTCAAGAGAAATCTCTTTGAGTCATCTGTTTGGAGGGTGTAATCCTGGCTGTTCTAGGAACTAGGTGGGTAGAAGGCCTGAGGGGTGTGTGGGGGTTGGCGGCTGTCTCAGTACTCAATATGTACACTTTCACTTAATCTTCCTGTTTTTAATAATATACCCTATTCTCAACTGTGTATATGATTGATGTGCCCTATTCTAGAGACCCTTTGTTTTACTCTCTCCAGAGGAGAAACTTCCAATTTTCTGCCCAGATTAGGAAGTGGGGGGCAGGCATTTGCTGCACAGAGTTGGGGCAGGAGCCTGAGTATCTGACTGCTTCTCAATCAACTTTCGGGCAATTTCTCTTATGTTAGACCTACTTTCACGCAATTTCCAGGATTTAACCAGTTCTGGAGCTTTCTTTAGGGGTCCCCAGGGGAAAGTTACATTGGTTTATAGTTTTCCCTTCTGCTAGCTTTGAATCCAGCTTTCTCAACACTGCTAAGGCAGTAATTACCTGTACATATGCTTTCTGGCTTTTAAAATTTTATTGCTGTTGTCTCCTCCATGTTGTTAGTTCTTGAGTTTATATCTATCTTAAAAATTCCTGTGTAATTGTTGTAGTGCAACAGAGCAGAGGCTACTGTGTGTCTTCAATCTGCCATCTTCACTGGAAGCCTCTATATGTTGGAGAGCCTCTCTCTATTTTATATATATATACACACATATATTAACATAATACTTTATTGAAATCTATATATATATAGATTGGTAGGCTCAATAATTTGCATCTCTAATAGGTTCTCAGGTGATGCTAATACACCTGGTATAGGGACTATACTTTGAGAACCACCGACTTAAGCATTGAGTGAGTTGGTATGTAGTATTCCATTGTGTAGAGTTATTTAATTAAATTTCTACTGTCACTTTGGTTGTTTTAAATTTGTTTCATATTATAAACAGTACTGCCACAACATGCCTTGACCCTGAATCTTTGCATATTTTATTTATTTATTTAAAATATTTTATTTTATTTATTCGTCGGAGAGAGAGAGCATAAGCAGGGGGAGCGGCAGGCAGAGGGAGAAGCAGGCTCCCTGCTGAGCAGAGAGCCTGATGCGGAACTCGATCCCAGGATCCTGGGATCATGACCTGAGCCAGGGGCAGATGTTTAACCGACTGAGCCACCCAGGCGCCCCCTCTTTGCACGTTTTAAAAATCTTTTCACTCTGGTGAAAATCTTGAACTGCTAGCCTCTTTGTCACCAAATATTTATTGGGTTCCTCCTTTGTGCTAGAGCCTGCTTGGGGCCCTGGGGACACAGTGATGAGCAAGGTTGTCTGCCTTCAAGGTGCTTAGATTGTTGTAGGAGGAGCTGGACAGTAAGTGCAAACATTTATTAAGAAGTTCAGTTATCGATAAATGCTCTGAAGAAAGGATTTATAGGATTTGGAAAGAGGAATTTTGAGAAATAATTTGGAGAGTTTTGTCCAAGAAAGCATGGAGTCTCTTGAGGTCATTCTTAGTCCTGCTTTCTACTTATCCTACTTCTGGCTTTAAATACCAGCTACATCCTGATGACTCAGAAATTTCTATCTCTAGGTTCTTTTCTGAACTACAGATTTTTTTTTTAACTATAGATTTTTATATTCAACTACCTACTTACCATTTCCATTTGTACAGTTAATAGGATCTTACATTTAACACATGCCATTCTAAAACCTTGATTTCTTTCATCAAACCTGCTCTTTTGCTTTCTCCCTTGTCTCAGTAAGTGGCATTTTCATTCTCCTGGTTGCTCAGGCCCAAACTCTCAGGATCACACTTGCCTTCTCTTTTTCTCTCATATTTCACATCCAGTCCACCAGCAAATTCTTCTGACCCTGGCTTCAAAATATGTCCAGAGTCCAGCCACTTCTCACCACCTGCACTGCCACCACTCCAGTCCAAGCGTGTGTCGTTCCTGTCCTTAATGGTGGTGGTCTGTGTCCACTCTGGCCCTCCTATAGCTCCATTCTTCCTGTAGCAGCCAGAGAGAGCTTTTTAAAAATACAAATGAAATCAGGTTGTTCCTCTGTTTAAAACTCTCCAGAAACTTCTTATAATATCCCGAATAAAATCCAAAGTACAAAACATGACTTACAAAGTCCTGTGTACTCTCCTAGCTAGTGTTTTGGAGAGCCTCTCAGACCTTTAAAGGGACATGTGGGTTGGGGCCTGCATCAAAGCAGTTATATACTTTTTGCTTTGCTTTGTAATTGTTTATTCTTGTATTTATTTGAAAAATTGTTCCTATTCACTATAAGAAATTCAAGCATTCTAAAAATCCCTCTTTAGAATCTCAGCCCATCCCACTCCCATAAAGAACCAATGAGTACGTTTTTAGTCAATTTCCTCTAAGCCGTCATTGCACTTTATTGCCAAATTGTTCTTTTAAAGATTGTATCAATTATAACTTGATTTTAAGATATTGAAAATGCTTCTTTGGATTCTTCTTGTTGTTTTGCTTCTTTTGTTGTCCAAACAGTTACCTGCACTTAAAAAAATTCTTCATTATCCCCTAAGAAACAGCATCCATCTGTTCTGGATCTCTCGATGGAGTTGAATATTCACTGCGAAAGGAGAAGGGAATTGTGAAGATGACAGTGCCAAGGACACTTGCTTTCTGCTACCTGTCATTACTATGGCAGAGAGAAACAATTACTCTTTCAGATCTTTTGAGGTAAGCTCGACCTCTCGTATAATGATGTCTTTGCTGATTATCTGTGTGAACTAAGGGACAACGTTTGGATATCTTGAATTTTACAAGGAGGCTTAAATTGAGGGAGAGACAGGAAGGATTGGGTAGCCTGAGTTCTAGTTCTGAAATGTAATCTTCTTCTGGCTGGTAACTCATCTCCTTGGTTTCCTTATTTATATAGTGCAATAATGCTATTTACCTTACACAGGGTATTGGAAAATTAATTATCTAATGTGAGTAAAATGCTCTAAAGATGAAAAGTGACACTGAAGTACCTTAGTGGTAGTATGAAGTGTTTTGCATTTTTCTAAGAGAGAAGATGAACAGATGACCTTCATATTGGCAAATGGTTACTAGTAGCTCCATAGTAGCTTTTACATTGGTGTCGGTAAAAGTTAGAATATAGGTTCTCTGTATTTATAAGATAAACTGAAAACAGAACTCTTAGAAAAACCTGTTAGTAGATGGTCGGTATTTATGTTTTTTCAAGATAATTTACAGTGTTTTATAGTTAATGAGTTAATTAGGGCACTGTGTATAAGACTTTCTCATTAAATAGAGGATGTGCCAAAATCATTAGTGTGTTCATATTTCCCTTGCTTTATATGTATTCTAAATAATAACATTTGGGTTTAGTCAGTGTTTGGAGTGATTTTAAGAGCACAGATTTGGAACCGGACTCCTGGGTTTGAATCCTAGCTGTGCCACTTATATGTGACCTTGAGTAAATTATTTAATTTCTCTTTGCCTCTGTTTCATCCTTGGTGAAATGGAGCTGATAATAACATCTACCTCACAGAGTTGTAACTACTTCCAGTAATTACTACTGCATGAAAAGCACTCAGGACAGTGCCTAGCACATAATAACTCAATGCTAGTTATGATTGTTTTGTTTTCTTCATCATCATCATCATCATCATCATCAGTACTAGGCCCTTTGATTAAATAAAATGCCTCCAGTAAATGATGATAGTGCCTTTGAATTTGGCCACGTCAACCAAATAACAAGGCTTTTCTCAGAGATGATTAATTCTGCATGCAGATAGTCCATTATTCAGGGAATTTTACTGTTAAAAACCTCACCTTGCTCTGTATGCCTTCATTGGGTGATCTCATCTTCTCCCAAGGCTTTAATTACCATCTATATGTTGATGATGATGCCCAAATTTATTTCTGCAGCCCAGACTTGTCTAGTGAGGGTCAGACCCATATATTCATACATATAACTGCCTGTTGGACACTACTTGGGTGTCTTTATGATATCTCAAAATCAGCATGATGAAAAGAAGTCCATCTTTCATCATCTTTCTCCTTAATCCAGCTCCTTCTCCAGTGTTTTCTTTCCTCTGTAAATATCACACACTCCGTTTCTTCCTATCCAGAAACTTAAGATTCATCCTTGACTCTTTCCTCTCTCTAGAGCTACAGTCAGTCATTACATCCTGTCAATTATACTTCCAAAACAACCCTTGAACCATTTTTCTCGCCATTCCCTCTATATCTTCACCTGGATTACTTAGCAACCTCCCAAGCGGGCCCTGTGCCGACAGTCTTGTGCCTCTCCTATACATTTTCCTTTCCATACCACAGGAGTCTTACAGAAACAACAATCAAATCATGTCACTAGAGCTGGGTAGAGGGGCTGTCTAACTACCCACGGCAATCTGTAAGGGAGTAACGAGACTCCTAGAAACCTAACAAGATGGAGAAAATGTTCACCTGTAATTCTTCTTAGGGAGAATATTAGATGTGGTTGGAAGGATAGGGGTAAGATCCTACACATTTGTCTTTCTCCCTCTCCCTTTCTGTTCCCCCTTCTTCCTCTTTCCTCCCCTCCCTTAAAGGAGAATTTTGAAGTGCCTTCAAGGAGAATGGATCTAATTAGCTGGAGGGCTTTTGTTTTGCTCTGTGGGATACACATTTGGGAACTGAGCCTAAGTGCTTGGAGCAACAGGAAAGGGGGCTGTTACCACTGATCCACTTTATTTTTCTCAGACACGGAGCTCTAAGACACAGGTTCTCAAAGTGTGGTTCCCTGACCAGCAGCATCAGCATCACCTAGGAACTTAGGAGTATGTAAATTCTAACCAGATTCTAACCCATTCTAACCTGAATCAGAAACTTTGGGGGTAGGGCCTGGTAACTCTTTTAATAAGCCATCCAGGGGATTCTTATGGATGCTAATGTTTGAGAACTACCACCGAACTGGGAAAAAGTATTTTAAAAACACTGGCGTGAAGGAAACACATTATTAGTCTGGCCCCAGTACCCCTATATCTTATACTCATCCTGCATATCATTCCCCAGGTTAAATTCTTTAGCAGTACCCATAGTCCTTAGGATAAATTCATAACTCAAAGTAGCCTTTAATTAACCCTGTCTGGGGATCTAGGTGGCTCGGTTGGTTGAGCAACCGGCTCTTGATTTCGGCTCCCCATGTCATGATCTCAGGGTCATGGGATTGAGCCCTGTGTCAGGTCTGTCCTCAGTGGGGAGTCTGCTTGGGATTCTCTCTCTCCCTTTGCCCTTCCTCCTGCTTGATCACTCTCTTTCTTAAATAAATTTTCTTTAAAGATTTTATTTATTTGAGAGAGAGAGAGAGCACAAGTAGGGGGAGAGGCAGAAGGAGAGGGAGAAGCAGGCTCCCCGCTGAGCAGGGGGCCCGATTCGGGGATCAATCCCAGGACCCTGGGATCATGACCTGAGCCGAAGGCAGACGCTTAACCGACTGAGCTACCCACGCGCCCCTCAAATAAATAAATCTTTAAAAGAATAAAAATAAGGAACCCTGCCTACCTAGTGATAGCAACAATAATAAATAAGAATAGTCAACGTGTATTCATTCCACAAATATTTATTGAATACCGACTAGATGCAGGTATTTTTCTAGAGTCTAGACCCTTGAATCACAGTTGTGAACCACAGAGAACAAGGTCCTGCTCTCGTAAAGTTCAAGACTAAAGGAGGAAACAGACAAGCATTTCAATAAATAATGATTAAACGGTGAAGTGCTATGCAGAAGACTGGCATCAAGTGATGGCTCCTTTAGACTGGTCATTAGGGAGGCCTCACTGAGGGGCTCTTTGAATGGAAGTCGAGCCGGCAGGTGAGTATCAGCAGTACTAGCGCTCCAAGTGGAAGGAGGCTGCTAGTGTCAAGCCCCCAAGCAAGAGCAAGGTCTGTCTGTGATCAAGGAGCAGAGGAGGCTCATGCAACAGGAGTAAGAATTTGAAGGAGCAGGAGGAGGGTGAGGACAGAGAGACAATAAGCAGGGGCCAGGTACAGGTCTTTGTGAGCCAGGCTAGTTTGGATTTTTTTTTTTTAATTGAGGTATAATTCATATATGGTAAAATTCACCCTTTTAAATGTGCAATTTAGTGGTTTTCAGGATATTTACAAGGTTGTGCAACCATCACCTCTATTTTCAGAGCATAATCATCACTCCCGAAGGAAACCCAATATTCATTAGGAATTTGGCTTTTGAGTGTGATAGTAAGCCCCTGGAAGATTTTAGCAGGGAAGACATTCTCTGACCATTCAAGCAGCTATAAGAAAAATGGATTCTAGGGAGGCAAGGGTGAAAGAAGAGAGCCCAGGTGGTCTTTTGCTATATTTCTGGCAAGACATAGTGGTTTGGAGTAGGATGGTGGCAAGTGAAATGGAACAAGGTGAATGGGCTCTGGGTATGTTTTGCAGGTAGACACGACCTAACGCCAGTGCAGTACTTCTTAAATTATCTGTGATGAACCAATTTGTTAAATTTCCAATCTATCACAGATTGAAACTTCTGAAAAATACAACAAAATTATAAATAGAGACTCTGTTTTCAGGGGACATGGCCAGGCAGGGCATATGGGATGCTTTTAGTCTATGGCAAATCCTCTGTCAACTTCCTGGATTGATTCAGAGACTCATCTGATGATACTTGACAAAATGAAATTGATCATTCAGAGCTTTGATTCAATAGCTATCTTTTGGAAAAGTATATATTTTTCTAAAAGGAAATTTTTTAAAAACCCACCAAACTTGAAAAGAGATTACAAGCAGCACTATTATAAGTGGTAAAAATTGTTAAAACCCCAGATGGCCAAGACCTTCTCTGCTTTCCCTGGTCAGGTTTCTCATTCCTTCCTCTGCTCCTACAGCGCTGTGCATGTGCCTCTGTGGGGCACTGCGGCACTGTCTTTACTGACGCACCCACAGGCTGTCTGCCTGTCCTGCTAGGGCCATGGTGGGGGCTTTTCATGTTTTATTGACTCTGAACTAATCCTCACACAGGGCTGGCATATGTGTATTATCATATGGGGGCAATGACTATGTAAATTTTGAATATATTAACATCATAGAGTACTACATAGTTATAAAATGATAAGCATGCAATACATCCTGTATATGAAATAATATTAAACCAAGAATGTAGCTCTGAAATAATATGAATACTGATTACAATGCACACATACTTTTATGTAAATGAAAGAAATGAATAAAAGTCTAAATGAGGATGGTTTTCCCTCTAGCGCTGTTCTAAGGAAGCCTGCTTTATTGTTAAACTTCAACCAACACCATTTTTACATAAAATTTACTTTAATTCTCAACTTTCAGTAGACTAAAATAAAGAAATCACATTTTTAATTTGAAATTAAAGTTGAATCAATATTCGTTCACACACAGAAAGCTAGAAGTTAGATGTCAGTTTAGCTGTAAGAATAACAAAGATTTTAATGCAAAACATTTGTATACTAACTTATTCCTGTCTTTATCTTATTTTCCTTAACCATTTTCATATTTTAAAACTCTAATAGATAAGGGTCCCTCAGTGGCTCAGTTGGTTGTGTCTGCCTTCGGCTCAGGTCATGATCCTGGAGTCCTGAGATCGAGTCCCACGCCTGGCTCTCTGCTCATTGAGGAGCCCGCTCCCTCTCGCTCTGTTCCTCCCCCCTGCTCGTGTTCTCTTTCTCTCTGTCAAATAAATAAATAAAATCTTTTAAAAAAATCTAATATATATATATATATGGCCTAGGTTGCAATACCCCCATTCCTCACTCTGTGTTCTTCCCTGCTTTATTATTCTCCTTGCCATCTTTACCCACTTAACATACTATAGATTTCATTCATTTGTTTTGTTTGCCATCTCTTTTCATGAGAACATAAAACTCCTTGGGAACAAGAATATTTTCCTATTTTGTTCATTGCTGTATGCCCACAGCCTCAAATAGTGCTGGGTTTTAGTACTTGATAAATTTCTGTGACTTAATGAATGAATTGTAAATAAATATATATGTGTATTTATTTATATATATGTGCTATTTTCTCCAAACTCAATTTACTCAAAATATTTGATCAGCTGCTATGTACTGGACGTTGGGATGGAGTGGTAAGCAAATGGGCACGGTCCCCTCCCTGAATTATCTCTAGGGGCAGGCATCTCCTGTGCACTCTTGGAGGGACTGAGGACAGGCGGGTAGACAAGGGAGGTGTTCTAAAAAGGAAAATGGACCCAGGGAGGTCTCCTCAAGAGAGTGATTTAGAAGAGCAGATGCTCATCATGTGAGGGGAGCTAGGCATAGAAGGATGCTGTGTCTGCAAGCCAGGTGGTGAACTGACAAATAAGACACATACTTCATAGAAATGTTTCATCTCGTTAGTCAGAAACTTAAGGTATCATTAGATAATTGGCTAAACGTTTTCTCCACACATGGGTGTAGAGAATAACTGATCTTTGCAGATTTATCCTCCTTAAAAACATGTGGGAGATGCAACGTGCTCAACTGGTTCTCACCTGGTCTTTGAAACACAGCTTCAGCTCGTTTGTCCCACTTTGCTAAATCAGTACGTACTCTTATTGACACTTTCTTTTCGAAAATACAGATTCGTTGAAGAGGGCCATATTCCTTACATAAATGCTTTTCAGCATTTTCCAGAAGAGATGAAATTATATGGGCGTGACAAAGGAATCTTTGCTATAGAGGCAAGTTACTTTCTTTTTTACTTTGTAGTCCCTAGTAAGATGCAAACGTGGTATGGTGATTTGTATTCCTTTCCTGACTTATTATTTGGTGTTGGGGGTTTTTAAAAATGGCATCTAGTTTTTGTTCTGCCCGTATGTAGAACATTAGTCATAATTTAATGAGGAATGGGATTATTATTTTTTATTTCCCTCATGTGGTCTCTTCTAATCCTTTAGGTTCTCCTGAACATACAGCTATGGTGTGAGGTGTGTGCACTGTCAATAGGTGTTTGGTTGAGACTAAACTTTAGAAGTTTTCTATAGAGACCTTTAGGTAATTTCAAATTTTTTAAAAATGTTTTTTGTTATTTGCATACTATATTGCTTTTGAGAAAAGAGAAGAAAGTTATTCTCTTGTTTCAAGAGGTGCTATTTTAAGTCCTTTGCTTCTTGGTCTTTTTCTAGATCTGTTTTGATGTCTCCAATGGAAGGGCTTCTGTCCTTTAATTACGAGTCCTTATCACTATGTGTAGTGCTCAAAGATTATCTTCTCTTTGTTCTTCATCGGAAGGTTTTCAGTATGCTAAATAGTAACATTAAATATTATCCTGCTTGCCCACTTAAGGATTTATTTTTATAGGCCCTCCTAACCTTCACAGCCTTAAATTATTTGTGGTTTGATTCAAGAGACATTTGTGACCCCTACCAAACCTCTGCATAAGTGTGGTTCACTGTCATCCCAGTTGTACGTATGAGCAGACACCTCAGGGAGACCGAATGAACGCCAAGGCCATACGGTTGGTGGCCCCAGACTTGGAGCCTTTTATTCCTTGTATCATCCTTGGCTCTCTCTGCCTGCCATTCTGCCCTCCTTTTTACACTATTTCTTCTAAATGCCTAAATCGGTGCTGTGAAAAAATATTTTTGAAGCATTGAGCCAGAAGTGATGGATGATTGGCAATGCAGACAAACAAGCTTGCAACATTCCGTAACCTTTTACATCTGCATTGAATTTAGAGTATTGGCCTCGGGCGCCTGGGTGGCTCAGTTGGTTGGGCGACTGCCTTTGGCTCAGGTCATGATCCAGGAGTCCCTGGATCGAGTCCCGCATCGGGCTCCCTGCTTGGCGGAGAGTCTGCTTCTCCCTCTGACCCTCCCCCTCTCATGTGCTCGCTCTCTCTCATTCTGTCTCAAATAAATAAATAAATAAAAATCTTTTAGAGTATTGGCCTCTATAAATGATTTGTAGGGAACTTTAGATTTTTAAGCCAGAAATGGCTCTACCTTCAGAATATCTCGTGCAGGAGCCGTTCCTATGAATTTAGAGAGAGGAAGCAAGTTTGGAGGGGGGTCCCCAGGGCTGCTTCCTCGTCGTCACCATTTAGCGCACAGCCAGGAGAGCTGACAGGACAGCTCCACGTGCGCTTGTACTCGGGCAGCACAGAGAAGGGGGGATAGATGCAGCTACCACTTAACCTGGAAAAAACAAAGAAATAATAATAATAATAATAGTGGTAGTGCTTATTCTGTACCAGGCCCTGTTTTACATATTTTATAAACTCTTTTATTATTCATATCAACCCTATGAAGTATGTATTATTATTATTTTTTAAGATTTTATTTATTTATTTGAGAGAGAGAGAGAGACAGATGGTGACAGAGATAGCAAGAGAGCACAAGGCTGGGAAGAGGGAGAGGGAGGGGGAGAATCAGGCTCCCCACGGAGCAGAGAGCCCAATGTGGGGCTCGATCCCAGGACTCTGGGATCATGACTTGAACTGAAGGCAGACGCTTAACTGACCGAGCCACCCAGGCGCCCCCGTATTATTATTATGCTTATACTACGGATGATGAAACTGAGACACAGAGAGATTAGGTAACTTGCCCAGTATCCTCACTCTGAACATAGTCCAGCATGGCTGAGGCAGCCTTAGTTTGGAGGGAGACAAAAAAAGTGGAACCATACTAAGCAGTAAGGGTGGGGTGAGGGGTGGGGCAGGGACAGCAGGGGCAGGAAGTGGAAGTAAGTTATTGAGGCAATATAGAAGCTCCGGACGTGGCCGGGGGGGGGGTGCGGGGGAGGCGCGCCTGGGTGGCTCGGTCAGCTAAGCTTCCGACTCTTGATCTTAGCTCAGCTCTTGATCTCAGGGTTGTGAGTTCGATCCCCTCATTGGGCTCCGGACTGGTTACCAAAACCAAGAGGTGGCCCTGTGATAGACATGGCAACCAGAACTGGAAGGCTGGGGATAGAGGATCCAGCTGGAGGATGGTCCAGGCTAGAAGTGACAGTGTGGGTACATGTGTCCTGGCATGAAGCACAGGCTAGGTAGCCAGAATAGGCTTCCTGAAAGATGGGTCTTTATGAAAATTTTCTTAGCTTAGGCAGGTTGTGATCATTTATTTATTTATTTATTTTTAAAGATTTTATTTATTTGTTTGAGAGAGAGAGAATGAGAGATAGCACGAGAGGGAAGAGGGTCAGAGGGAGAAGCAGACTCCTGCTCAGCAGGGAGCCCGAAGTGGGACTCAATCCCGGGACTCCAGGATCATGACCTGAGCTGAAGGCAGTCGCTTAACCAACTGAGCCACCCAGGCGCCCTGATCATTTATTTTTAATTTTAATTTTTAAAAATTTTAAATTTGAGTAGTTGACGTACAATGTTACATTAGTTTCAGGTGTACAACAGAGTGATTCGGCGTGTCTCTACGTTTGCGCTGTTCTCGCCACCAGTGTAGCTGCCATCTGTCACCATACAGTGTCACCGACCAGAGTCCCGATGCTGTACAGCTTATTCCGGTGACTTAGTCGTTCCGTAACTGGAGGGTTGCAATGATTTATTTAAAGGACTAGGGACACAGAGGACACATCCTGTTTTTCTAGTCAGCACTCCAGACCCCAAATAATTTTTCAGAGATGTGGTGGAATAGCTGAACTTGAGTAAAGTCAGGGAGATATTTACAAAGTACAAGGTGCCCCTACCACCTCAGGAGCCCTGTTTGCCTCTAGGAAAAGAAAAACACAAGTTTTTAGTTTCAGAATTAGCCTGCATTCGAGGTTGATTAGTTTTTCATCTTTTTAAATAGCATCCTGTGCTCAATGAGACACGTCTGGATTTCATGGGTATGCCTCGGACAATACTGATGCTACCCTAAAACTGTCCCATAGAAGGGGTTTTTTCTTAATAATTGCTTTGAGAATCTGTATAATTCACTAATTAGTAGTATCAAATTTAGCTGCTAAAAAATTGTTCATGGCTAGACATTTAGTTCAATAATTCTTGGTGTGTGTCTTTACAGTTAAGTATTTCTAGAGGGACCAGTGGAACTCAGTTATCATTTTTGCATTAATCTCTCCAGTGTAGTCTTGGCTAACAAAAAATTCTCTCTCTTTCCTCTCCCTCCCTTACCCTCCCTTCCCATCCTCCTTTCCTTCTCTTCTCTCTTAGCTTCCAGTCCGGTCTGTATCTTATGTTCTAACCGCCTGGGCTTTAGCCTGATTTCTCAGAACCATTCACGACTCAAGTTATATTGATCATTTTTGCTTGGTTTAGGTTATTTGTACTTTTTGCTGGTGCCCAAACTTACTTATATTTAACTCCCAAGCCAAATTATAAGCTTCTAGGGATAAACACCAGAATCTTTTACATGGAATCATGGAATATTAAAGCTGAGGGAAATTTAAACATGCCTTAGTCCACATTTCTTAGTTTTTCAGTAAGGAAACAGGCTTAGGAAAAAAATGATTTGGGAATAGGTAAACCTCTACCTCATTAGGGTTTTCTTGAGGATTATTTGAGATAATATCTTCAAAATACAGGTATATCATAGACATTGAAATGGACATTCCTTCCAGGTCCCAGGATGGAAAAGCTTTTCTTCTAAGGAAAAGATTAAGAGTTATCCTCAAACTACTCAGGGGAAAAAAATGTATCATTTTTGGAAATTAAAATTTTCATTTTAAAGCTCTGTTATAAACAAAACAAAAAACCTATGCATGTGCCCATTTCTGAGTTTGCTACAGGGAGGTGCCAGGAAGTTCATGGATATGACTCTTGCTTTTTATTACAGTGTTTTATAATTTTGGTTACCATAAATTCAGCTTCTTGCAAAGGATATTGCTCCCTGGGCTGAGTTTATATGCTTGGGAGTAATTACTAACCAGTAATTTCCTTTTGAATTAAGAAATTTGGTTTCACTTTATACTCAAATAGACACTCAAATTTCACTCTATAAAATAATTATTTTTAAAAATATATACCTTGTCCATTCAGATAGTAATAGATCCCATTATTGCCACATGTTGAAATGACTACAGGAGTGACTTATAGTGCACAGAACCAAGGGACTGCTACAGTCATAGCCAGTGTGGCTTATGTTTCCCAGAAGCCTAGCTCAAGCCTTTAGCCAAGATTGGCTTTGCCCGCCTATAGGCAGTGTGGGAAGGAGTGCCTGCAGTTATAGCCACATTTATTTCTGGTGGTGATTCGGGGTTTCAGCCTGAAATATTATGTTCTCACTATGGTATCAGATCTAGACTGTTCTCTGCCCCTCCTAAATTTTTGTAATTTGAGACTTAAATTTTATAAATTAAGAAACAAAATTCATTATTTTGCATTTACTTGCATGTTTTATTTATGCTCTGAAACCATTCAAATACTAATTTTTACTCATCCTATCAGTTACTGAGAGAGGTGTGTTGAAATCTCCAGTGTCCTAGGATTACAACTTTTTCTTTCATGTTCTGTTGGTTTTTGCTTCACGTATTTTGGAGCTTAGGTGCATAATAATTGGGATATTTTGTCTTCTTGATGAACTGACTCTTCTTACTATGTAATGTCCTTTTCTGCCCTCCAGTAATATTTGTTTTCATATCTACCTTGTTCAATGTTAATTTAAAAAAAAAGTTTGCCTAATATACCTTTTGGAAATCTTTTATTTTTAACCTGTGTCTTTATATTTAAAGTGGCTTCCTGGTAGACAGTTTGTAGTTGTCTTGATTTTTTTTTTATTTATGCAGTCTG